CGCATGAGCAAAGATGGGAGACAGCCCAGGAGAAGCAACGGGAAGAGCAGATTGGAATGCTTTGTGCTCTGGGCTAGAGGTTAGTGGCTGCTTGCCATGGTGTCATTTTTTAAAAGAGGGAGAGCTGAACAGCAGAGGAACTGAGGCCACATGCATTTTAATAGGGCAGGGGGGAGAGAAAAAGGAAAAGTACAGGGTCAAGTACAGTTTAAGGATTCCGTGCTTTGGAACATTACACTAGCTCTTTATTTATGTAACGAATTATACAACATCACATAAAAATTACTTTTAAATGAATACTAGTAAGAAATTACATTTTAAATAACACAACTGGTGTCTTTCTGAACATAAATGCCACAATTGGTTTATTAACCAAAATTGTAAATGTTATCTAATAGTTATTGTGTTTCTTACTAAATTTATATAGTCTACTTTCAGCAGCAAGGGCTCCCATGGTGCTTTACAATTGCTTCTGCTGCTATTTTAATTTGTGTGCTGCTTTTCTATATAGGTAAGCCCAAAATGGCTCACAACACAAGAACAACAATACATATAAAACCATCACTGATCACTACAAGTCTACAACCAATTCATTATATAAAAAGGAAATCCAGATAAATAGTAGCTTGTTTCAATAATGCTAACATTTTAAATCCGCTACAAAACAGAGTATCAATCATTAACATACAATATCAGCTGATAAAATATATAAGCAAGGGTCATATATTACAAAACTTTCCTGTACAGTCAGTTGATAATCAAATATATAGGGCTGTAATCAACAAAGTCCTGCTCAAAATAAATTCACTGAAGTCAATGGAGTGAAGTTGGTAATGCCCATTAATTTCAATGAGTCTGTTCTGAGTATAACTACGTAATAATGCTGGATACAACCCACACTCACCAGCCACCATTTCACAAAAGTGCTAAGTGCCAGAAATAGCTGCCAGATTTCTTACAACTGCTAGTATAAAAAGTGCTAGACGCAAAAGTACTAAAAACAATTTTAGTTTAAGTATTGCAGAGGGGCCATAGATACAGGAATTTCTCAAGACTAAAAACAAGCTCACCCAGGTAAGGGCCTTATAAGCAACCTGGCTTCACACTTCACATCAAGCCTCACATTAATAAATTGGCTTTCTAACTGTCAACAGGAAAGCCTCTAGTTTATTGTTCTTCACCCTCCCCTTCAGATGAAAATAGCATAGCACCCTCATTCTGGCTTTGCAGCACCGCAGCAAGAGGAAGCAGGGGCTGGATGGTACAAGCTTCTCCTTGTTCCTCTGCTTTCCTCAGTCAGCTACAGTTCTTAAAGCCTTCAACAGTGATAGTGTGTGTGTGTGTACTGATTTTCAGTCTCTTTTCTTGTGTCCCGGATGGTCAGTAAAAAAACCAACTCATACAATCAAGAAGACAGCAGAATGAAACAACACATAAGCTAGCCTGTGGAAAACTCCATAATGACTTTGAAAGATCTAAAAAGGCCAAAATGCCCGTAGGGTAGTCATTCACACATTGCAAAAAATAATAATGTGAAAATGCAGTCACTGAAAAAAGATGAAGATTTGCATAACATCTGCATGTACTAATTTCTATGAATACATGCAATGCTTAAAATACCTACTATAGTTTTGTTAGATATCATTATTTCATTTATGAACTGCTTCCCATGGGTCACCTTGAACAACATATAGAAACACAGTTAAAACAATTGTATAAATAAAGACATTTTTTAAAAGTATAAATATAGAAACAGCTTAAACCAACAACGTCACATACATAAAATTGATTCAAAGCAAATGCGTATACAGTGGTACCTCGCGTTAAGAACTTAATTCATTCTGGAGGTCCGTTCTTAACCTGAAACTGTTCTTAACCTGAGGTACCACTTTAGCTAATGGGGCCTCCCGCTGCTGCTGCACCACTGCCACACGATTTCTGCTCTTATCCTGAAGCAAAATTCTTAACCCGAGGTACTATTTCTGGGTTAGCGGAGTCTGTAACCTGAAGTGTCTGTAACCCAAGTACCATCTGAGATAAAGATTTTAGAAGGTTTGTTGAAAGACGAATGCCTTTAGCAGGCACTGAAAGACAATAGAGGAGGTGCCTGTCTAATAAGCAGCAGTGTGGGTGCCATCCCACAGACACCATGCAGAACGGAACTCCTGATAGGATGGCAACTGCAGGATGACCTCTCCTACAGAATGCAGTGATTGGTTGAGTATGTAGGGGGTGAGATAATCTTTTAGGTTTCCTGCACCCAGGGTGTATAGAGCTTTGCACACCACTTCCAGCACCTTGAATAGCTAAGTGGCAGCCAGTACATCACAGCTCGACGAAGTCACCCACCGAGTCACACGTGCATCTGCTGTCCAGATGCTTTAAGCTCTGCAGGCACAAGATCTCCCACCTAAGAGAGAAGAGCCACAGTACTGGTTTCTCCAATATGAACCAGGGCTCCTGATGTTACCACTGCAACGTGAGAAGGGGCCTTCAAAGATTGGTGGGTGCTCTTTGTGGGATATAAAGTTAAATATTTCCCCGCTACATTATTTCATTTCCTGCCTTTGACGACAGGTGCAGAAGTCCCAAGAACGCTTTCTGGTGGTATCAGAACTGGTGCAATGGCGACCGCGATTTCACAGTGCTATAGCAAAGGCGGCATGGAGTTGTCTGCGGACAGGAGACCACAGACACAGAACTTTTACATGGGGAGAGGACAGTAATAATAATTTAGCATTTCAACATGACAGAGAGGCTTTTTGAAACACACACACACACAAAACCACCTCAGTTTTGTTCTTTTCCTGTTTCCAAGTTACACAGTAGGAATCAGGAAGCTGTCTTGGGGTTTTGATCTACAATAATTCAGAGGATATCCTTGTCTCTCCCCACCTTCCTATAAATACATTGAAGAATTTTTCACCATGTACTGAGAAAAGCAATACGTAAACTCTGGAGGCTGACATTCTACACAATTATTGCAGGAGCAGCGTGTGCTTGTGAAGGTTTCCGTCCTGTTTCTTCCTTCTACACAGATTCACAGGACTGGAAGGGACGCAGAGGTGATGAAACTAACACCCCTGTTCTAGGACTAGACCTTCAAATATACGGCCTTTACAGATTAGCCATTATAACATTGCTTTATTTATTTGACATTATTTTATGCTACCTATACCTAATGTGTATGTAGCCACAACAAATGACAGACCTCTGTATGACGACGCCTTCAAGTATCTGAAATGACACCTTTTCTATATAACCTATATTCTGTCTACCTTCCACCCTCCCTAGATATATTCCTAAACACAATCGCCCATCCTGTTAGCATGAGGTTAAGAGAGGAAAGGGGCATAAAACATCAGAACAATCCAGACAGTTTATTTTGAATAGTATCTGGCAGTAGGCAGGATAAATAAACTACACTCACAAGCAGGAACAGAACAGAGCACGTCACATTAGGCATTCAGATAAAGATAGCTGATTAACAATATTTCTACAAACAATATTGTGGGCATGTTTTGTTTTAAGATATCTAAATAAAAATTTCTGCTCATGGCGGGGATAATATTTCAGTGTACATATATTTCCATGCAAAGTCCCTCTTGAGATGGAGATTGGCAGTAGTTTTTAAAAGAGTTGAAAATAGTATGATGGAGTCCTTGAGCTGAATATACATTTCTCTTTCCCACAATAACCTCCAATCAAATAGGGATGTTACAGAATATAAATAAATGGACAATTGCTAAGAAAGTCCAACGTAGGCTAGGCTCACATTAGCAGCTTGAAATACTGCAAAGTCATCCCCATCTGTCGCTGCATTTCCAATTGCATACCCTCCAAGATTTATCTGATGAAAATAGGGATGTCCAGTCAGATGGGTGGATGATGATGATGATGATAATTCTATTTATACCCCACACATCTGACTGGATTGCCCCAGCCAGTCTGGATCGCTTCCAACATATATAAAAACATAACAAAACATTTTTAAAAACCTGCCTTCAGATAGCTTGGGCATTGGAAACCTCCATACCCTCCAACATTTCTTCGATGAAAATAGGGGTGCCCTAAGAAAAAATGGGACATTCTGGGATCAAATAAAAAACCAGGACAGCTTCTGTAAATCCCGGACTGTCCCTGGAAAAAAAGAAACTTGGTGGCCTCCATTTTCGTATTGCATGGAAGTTGGTTTGATGAGAAGCACATCAAATAGGAGCATATCTCTAAAAGCCACAGGATGCAGATGGATTGTGGCTAATGTCATGTGAACTTGGCTCAGAAAAACCTGTGGTGGGAGTGTAAGATTGACTACAAAAGGCTTCCCAAAAATGAAGAGATTGGTAAAAAATAAGAAGAAAAGAATGAAGTTAAAAGAGGCTCAAATCTCTCTAGAAGGCATAGCTTTATTCAAAAACACAAAGGCTAAGCTAGAATGTATACTAAAGATCAGGTTCCACCAAGAGGATGCAAGGCAGCTTCCTTTAAAGAAGGAAATCTTGTCCAAATGAGGAAAACAAAAAGGGACACAAACGGTGGCAAGATAAATATAACCAACGATAAGGTATGCTTAAAAAATTAATCTGAAAAGTGCACTGCTAAAAACAAAGACCAAAAACAAACAAATAAATCTTCAGATACACTAGAAGCAGGAAACTGCCTAAGGGGGCAGTTGAACCTTTGGACGACAAGGGAATCAAAGGTGTGCTAAAGTAAAGGAGGAAAAAGTAGATGGCAGAGAAAAAATATGAATTTTTTGCACCTGTCTTCACAGCAGAAGATGTAGCTTGTGGCTGAACCAACTTTCTCAGGACAGGAGTCTGAAAAACTGAGGGAAATAGTAGTGACAAGAAACCAAATTCTAGGCCTTATTGACAAATTATAAACAGACAAATCATCAGATCCAGGTAATGAGAGTTCTTAAAGAACTCAAATGTAAAATTGTCAATTTTCTAACTAAAATGTGTCAATACTCTAAGAATGGCTTTCATACTGGTAGACTGTGTGTGTGTGTGTGTGTGTGTGTGTGTGTGTATTCATACACACACACACACACACACACACATATATATATGGAATAAAATGCACTCTGCCTAAAATTCAAAACAACCATCCATCCATTTTTTTAGAAGGGGAAAGGAATATATTAAAAATAAAACCAAATATTCTCCTCTGAAAATCTCTGTGATCAATATGGTTCTTCTGTGTCTGTGTGGCTCTGAAGAAAATTCTAGCACAATAAACAAATAGGTAAGACACTTTGAACTACTTAAAGCCAAGTTGTAATTGCATGCTGGTGATACTTCACCTTGATACAGAAGATGAAAATGAAAGCCCATAGTGGGACTCATGGGCAGCACGTTGACTTTTTGGGTTGTTGGGAGTGGGCACTGCAGTACTATAGTTACCTAAATTATTTATTTCTAGTAGCTTTTAGCAATATTGCTTCAGTAAACCCAATCCGCTTGAAATGGGTTTTCACATGCTAGGCTATTGTAGAAAAGGTGCTTCTGAAGGTGCTTCTATTTACACTTGTTTCTATTTACACGTTCATAAAAAAATCATACCCTCTGGGCAAAGGATTTTGCCATTCTTATATAACGCCTTGTGTGCACCATTTGTTTCCATTATGGAAGGCGATTCATTAAGACAAACACATTTCTGTTAGAAAAGAGACAAAAGGGATGAACAAAGAGGGGGCTTTATTAATGAGAAGCATAGAAAAAAAATCCCATTCTTATCAAATACATAGACTACAAGGCTTTTTTAAAAAAAAATCAACAAGTGAGAATAGTTAAAATAGTTTATTGAGCATTACAGTATGTTAAAAAGCAAACCAACATGTTTCATTGGTTTATAAAGCTCTGCCTAAAATTCAAAACAACCATGCATACATTTTTAGAAGGGGAAATGGATATATTAAAAATAAAACAAAATATACTCCTCTGAAAAGCTCTGTGATCGGTATGGTTGTTCTATATCTGTTTGGCTTTGTCTGTGGCTATGCCACCTGGTCCTTACATAATTGTTACCTAAGGGTCCATCTATACTTTTGCTTGACCCACATTTTGACCGGCTTGTGCACCATTTAATTCCCTCAGATCTGAGAACTTTTAATATTGTTGATACCCGAAATTGTTTACTTTCCTCTTCGTTTTCTGTTTCTGTTTTGCTTGTACACTGTGCCTATTAGAATCCCTTCACATGATATACGCTTGGAGGGTGCCATGCAGTTGTGGGGGTGTGGGGCTGGCCTACTGCCTCTGATGGTGCATGCTTCCGTAGACCCCTGACATCCATGCATTGAGTGTAGACATCAGAAGGAGGAAAGCCTCTCATATGAAATGTATGTCCCGTCTGCTCTTCAGAAAGCATTATTCTAAATAATGTAATGTAGGGGTCAGAAACTGGAGGCACCCAGCTAGGGAATAAAAGTTTCACACACAGTTGTCAACTCAAAAGGCAAGAGAAACCATACTGTGGCAGGCATAGTGAATTGAAAACCACACTTTCTAGAAATTCACCATGTGAATTCAATCCAAACTCCCTTTCAGAAGCAATTTCTGAAACAATAGGGGCTGAAAAATACAACCCCAGAAATTGTTGTTAAGAAGCTGTATTACGCAGGTCATGTGTAAAGTTCTCTAAGTTTCTCTTGGAACAGATATTATATTATATTTCAAATTTTTGGACCAACCCTTTAGTAAGTGTCAAAAGGATAAAGGTAGAGCCCAGCTTGTTATATATAAAGTTAAGCAGCTAAAAAACCTGCCATGTATTACAGCATAATCCTAACTATGTGTAGTCAGAAGTAAATTCCACTGAATAAAACCCCAGATAAGTAAGGTTAGGGTTGCAGGCTTGATCTGAGATGTTAATCTCATATAATTCAAAAGATGGTTGATACTTGCATTTTTTTTTATTTACTAAAAAAATAGGGGGGTCATTCACACCATAAATTCAACATGTTAGCATCCAACTGGTTTCCCATGCTTGTTTGACCATTCAAGATAAGAGCAAAATATAATTTCCCTTTTAAGTGGTTGTACGCTCATGCTTTGAGTATTTCTTTGATGCTATAGCAGACTGATTAAATTGCTGAATATGCCGAAAGTTTACAGCCTTGCATGCCGAGATGTTTCACCCACAAGAACCCAAACATAAGTAGCATGAAGAGGGGAGAAGAATGAAACCTGGAAAGAAAGCAGCCACTACTAAAAAGGTGACACCATTCTAAGTGTGAGAAGAAGTAGCATTTTTCAAGGCAGGAAGCAGCAGAGGGCATATTTGATATCTTAGCTAAAGGATTTTGAGAGTGGCAGGTGAAGATAATGCAAATTTCCCTGTTCCGAATCTACTTCACTAACTGCACCTTGTGGAGTGGTCAAATTCATATTGGAGAGATGGGCATTTTTATTTTTTGGCACCTTAATTTCATTCACAGTACGTAGCTCCACCTTCAGGTTCATCTTTACTGACATCACTGATATTTATTCTGTTTATTTTGGATCCTGCAAATATTAATCAAATAGACATCTTTTTGCCACTTCTGCTGGAAATAACCCCAGGATCAAACAGAATTGCTCCTATAAAACCTGTCATCCTCTTTTGTCACTAAGTTAACATTGCAAACTGTCCATCTCTAGATACTGCAAATCACATGCAGATGGTTCCAGGCTCAACCCCTGGCAAGGATCAAGGTTATAAGATGATGTGAAAGACCTCGGATATGCCTGAGACCCTGAAGAACCCGTTGAAGTAGGCAATGCTAGACTAGCTGGATAAGTAGTTGGATCTGTTTCTTATGTAACTAGTTAATCATGTAGGCGGGACGCGGGTGGCGCTGTGGGTTAAACCACAGAGCCTAGGACTTGCTGATCAGAAGGTTGGTGGTTCGAATCCCTGCGACGGGGTGAGCTCCCATTGCTCGGTCCCTGATCCTGCCAACCTAGCAGTTTGAAAGCACGTCAAAGTACAAGTAGATAAATAGGTACCACTCGGGAAGGTAAACGGCGTTTCCATGTGCTGCTCTGGTTCGCCAGAAGCGGCTTAGTCATGCTGGCCACATGAGCTGGAAGCTGTACGCCGGCTCCCTCGGCCAATAAAGCGAGATGAGCGCTGCATCCCCAGAGTCGGCCACGACTGGACCTAATGGTCAGGGGTCACTTTACCTTTTAAGGTAAAGTACCTTTAATACCAGTGATAAGCAGTATCTATAAATGATGCAAATTAGTGGCCATGTAGAAAGAAAAATAAGCAAGCAAGCAGGCAAGCAAACAAAGACTTTCCTGTGGCCTAGAAAGACTTATAGAATTGCAATTGTCAAGATTCTTTGATTCATCTAGAGTATGAACCTGTGTCATGGCAGCAGGGACTTGGAGGATACATTTAAAAAATATTGGATGAAGTAGTTCACTAACAGCCTGAAGATAAAACGGGAGATGTGGCAGTTGACTAGAACTGCTACACAGCTGTTCACACTGTTATAATTAGGTTGTTGCACTGTCACTTCCAATTTGTCCATATCTTTCTGAACAACCCCTTGATAGAAGCAGCACCAATCCAGCAGTCATTAATAGAAGAAGCTGTGCAGTTGTATCTAAATGAGAGCTGCAAGAGCCAGCCAAAAGCGGGGGGTACAGAGGCCATGGAAGAAAAACACAAGGCAAGGTGGAAGTCTGTGAAGACCAGAGAGGAGCTAAGAAAGAATTAAAATCTGTGTGAGAGCAGAACTAGGTGAAGTAGATGGATGGAGCATATAAGGGAAAGGCTGGGGCAGCAAAGGAGGAAGCTGAGAGAGTGAGAAAGAAATTGAGAAGATGGAAAAGGTGTAGGCAGTACCGCATGCTAGTATAGCAGTAGTAGGGAATCTTGTATATGATGTCAGGTGTGTGGCAGGTAAAGATGTAGCTGATTCAAAAAAGGAGCTTGCGCAAGCAAAGGCCATGCTCAGCCCTTGGCAAGCACAGAGAACCAGCTGGTTGTCGGCACATGCACCGAGCAGGGAGTTAGTTGTGCAACTAATGCCAACATGCCAGGGCTGCAGTTAGTGGGGCCCAAGGGCAAAGCCAGAGAACTTGCTGTAACTGTATCATGACTTGGTAAGCCAGCAGGAAGTGACAAGATGAGTGGCAACAAATACAGCCCCAGGGAACTCTGGGAAAGGCACGACAGAGCCTTGAAGGACTGAGAGCAAGGTACACAAATGGCAGGTGCATGTTAACCCGGTCCATGTACCTGGAGGGTTCCTTCCTTTCTGTTGGTTAGAAGTTGATGAAGCCCATCTATCCTAAGGTTACCAGTTTTTTTTCAAAGAATCCGGGGACACTTTTTTTTTTAAAGAAAAAAGTGTTATTTTTTAAAAAGTTACTTTTTAAAAAATTAAGAAGTAACATCTTCTCTTTTGTGGTCTTCTCTGTCACGTGGCCTTCCTCTGGGCCCTGACCTGCTCTCTTGGAGTGCTAGCAGCCGTGGAGTAGGCTCAGGTTGGGCCTGGGATTGGCCACGTGGCCTTGCCCTCCCGGTGCTCTCCTACCTCTCATCCTCAGCGGTTCAGCAAGGTCAGGGCTCCCCTCTTTTTTCTCCTTCCTCATTCTCTCTCTTCCTTCTCCTTCTCACTGTGTCAGCTCCAGGGTTTTCCTGGCCCCGGAGCACCACTGGGCAGTCGGCTGGGAGGCCGGGTGCTCTCACTCCTGGCTTGATTTGGGTCACGGGGGGGGCAGTGGTTCCCCCAGTTGATGCCGCGGGCATTCCTGGTGCTCCCTTGGCAATGACGGTGGCGGCAGCAGTCTCAGCAGCCTGGAGCCAGCCTGGTAGCGCAGTTGGCTCTGGCTAGCTTCAGGAGCTGCCCGCTGCTGTGGCATCTGCCATTTTGTCTTGCCAGAAGTCCCCATATGATGTGTCTTGTGCCGTTGAACCAATCACACAACATTCATTCCCTACTAATAAATTTACAACACTTAAAATATAAATCCGGGGACATTAAATGAAATCCAGGGACATTCCGGGGACAGATTTTGTCCGGGGACAGATTTGTAAATCCGGGGACTGTCCCCGGGAAATGGGGACGTCTGGTA